AAAATATTAATGTCATATATAAATATTAAAATTCATAATTTTTATACAAAACAATATAATAAATTATATTAGTTATTTGATATCCAATATGTAGTATCAATTTTAATATAATTTGATCATAAACCATCTGATATCCAAATAGAAAAAGTTTGTATATTATTCATTTTTTTAATATTCACAGATTTCATTACATATTCTACACATTAAAAATGGATGAGATTTAAACATAAAACACCTTCAAACCTTAAAAATCAGTCCAGCACCATGGTATAAAAATGTTAAACCAAATGCATTTCATTCCGAAAGTTTAAACCTGAGGTAGATCTTAGAATACAATCAGAAATGCTTGTTACATAAATTACACATTGGTGTGGACTGATTCCAGATTTGAAGGTGTTTTATGGCTGATTAAAAAGATTTTAATATATTTCATTTATAGTAAGCTGTATATTTTATATTATAATAAGGAATATTTTAATATTAATGATATAGATTTATTAGTCTAAGTTAAAATCCTATTTCAACTTTAATTCTTTAAAAGATAACATATTTTGATTGATATTCTAAATGGACAATTTATATATTATACAATATTTATCTGTTTTTAATAAGTAAATTTGTTCTAACAGGAAAAAAACTTTGTGAATAACAGTAAATAAATTTTTAAAATTTGAATAGTTTAAGTAATGCTAAACTGAAAATTGTATATGATAGTCCAACAAACTGGCAGCCTCCAATTTACAATGGTCTGAATTATGACAAATTTGAAAAACTGCCAACATTTGTAAAAAACCCAAAAAGAAAAAAAAAACCATTCATGCTGATAGTTCATAACCTTCATAACAGATGTCAATTCACTGTCATACCATTTTCAAAAAGGTGAATAAAAAGGGAAAGGGAATAGATTTAAAGAAGAAATGAATAGTAGCTATTACAATGCAAGATTCCAACTGAACATAAATGTGTACTTATTAATAAAATTTAAATTAGAACAAGTAAATATATACTGTAATTGTTTAAAAAGTATTTATGTAAAAAAGCTACTAAAAACACTTATATTTTGGCATAATTTATACATGACAATATTTTGGGGATGCAATATAACTCATTTAAATACATTATGAACATGTGAAATTTGTGGTGATTCCATTTACTGCACTTTTTCCAGAAATAATCCAGTTATAAATAAGAGGATGCCTGTACCATACTTTTTATAAAAATTTCATCTCTACGATGATTTAGTTTAGAAAAAAATTTTTTTTGTTTCTTTCTTTCTTTAAATTTTGTACTTGCATATTGAAAAAAATATTACTATGATTAGCATTTAATAAAAATTATTATTACTAGTGCTATTGTTGCATGTTATGTAGATATATTGAGTATATTACATGATTCTACTTAAGCTGAATGAATTTATGATAGTTTTTATTCTTTTTTTTGTTTAACTAGAAGAAATTTTGAAAATTTTTATTTCAGCATAATTTATATTATTACAGGATGCTAAGCTAGATTTTCCCCCATGTAATTTTTCAATACCTGTATTGTTTTAAAAAATTTCATATCATTTGAAAACACTAAACTTAAAATAAGATTAAAGAATTGATAAGATCATGTTTATTTTGGCTAATTTCGTTCCATTTAAAAAGTTATTTCTTATCAGTTTAATATGCTTTTGTTTTTACAAATTATTACAATGGGATTTTTTTAATAAGTTAAAAATTCACAACTACTTTTCCATGACACTTTACTAGGGTAGTACAAATTATATTTTCAAGCAAAAACAAATCTTTTGCTTAATATTGTAAAGTATCTGCTAAGGAAATTGTTTTTGTTATTAATTACTATCTGCTTTCATCGATAACGTTACCATATTAGAGAGGTTGAGGCGCACGTTTTAAACGTGTAAATGTGTACGTGTGACGTTCGGCGCCGCTTTCCCGTAAGCCTAAAAGTTTGACAATGGTGTTTGGATAGTCGGTGGAATCACGCTCGACATTCCAAACATCATCGTCAAACTTTTAGGCTTACGGGAAAGCGGCGCCGAACGTCACACGTACACGTTTACACGTTTAAAACGTGCGCCTCAACCTCTCTAATATGGTAACGTTATCGATGAAAGCAGATAGTAATTAATAACAAAAACAATTTCCTTAGCAGATACTTTACAATATTAAGCAAAAGATTTGTTTTTGCTTGAAAATATAATTTGTACTACCCTAGTAAAGTGTCATGGAAAAGTAGTTGTGAATTTTTAACTTATTAAAAAAATCCCATTGTAATAATTTGTAAAAACAAAAGCATATTAAACTGATAAGAAATAACTTTTTAAATGGAACGAAATTAGCCAAAATAAACATGATCTTATCAATTCTTTAATCTTATTTTAAGTTTAGTGTTTTCAAATGATATGAAATTTTTTAAAACAATACAGGTATTGAAAAATTACATGGGGGAAAATCTAGCTTAGCATCCTGTAATAATATAAATTATGCTGAAATAAAAATTTTCAAAATTTCTTCTAGTTAAACAAAAAAAAGAATAAAAACTATCATAAATTCATTCAGCTTAAGTAGAATCATGTAATATACTCAATATATCTACATAACATGCAACAATAGCACTAGTAATAATAATTTTTATTAAATGCTAATCATAGTAATATTTTTTTCAATATGCAAGTACAAAATTTAAAGAAAGAAAGAAACAAAAAAAATTTTTTTCTAAACTAAATCATCGTAGAGATGAAATTTTTATAAAAAGTATGGTACAGGCATCCTCTTATTTATAACTGGATTATTTCTGGAAAAAGTGCAGTAAATGGAATCACCACAAATTTCACATGTTCATAATGTATTTAAATGAGTTATATTGCATCCCCAAAATATTGTCATGTATAAATTATGCCAAAATATAAGTGTTTTTAGTAGCTTTTTTACATAAATACTTTTTAAACAATTACAGTATATATTTACTTGTTCTAATTTAAATTTTATTAATAAGTACACATTTATGTTCAGTTGGAATCTTGCATTGTAATAGCTACTATTCATTTCTTCTTTAAATCTATTCCCTTTCCCTTTTTATTCACCTTTTTGAAAATGGTATGACAGTGAATTGACATCTGTTATGAAGGTTATGAACTATCAGCATGAATGGTTTTTTTTTTCTTTTTGGGTTTTTTACAAATGTTGGCAGTTTTTCAAATTTGTCATAATTCAGACCATTGTAAATTGGAGGCTGCCAGTTTGTTGGACTATCATATACAATTTTCAGTTTAGCATTACTTAAACTATTCAAATTTTAAAAATTTATTTACTGTTATTCACAAAGTTTTTTTCCTGTTAGAACAAATTTACTTATTAAAAACAGATAAATATTGTATAATATATAAATTGTCCATTTAGAATATCAATCAAAATATGTTATCTTTTAAAGAATTAAAGTTGAAATAGGATTTTAACTTAGACTAATAAATCTATATCATTAATATTAAAATATTCCTTATTATAATATAAAATATACAGCTTACTATAAATGAAATATATTAAAATCTTTTTAATCAGCCATAAAACACCTTCAAATCTGGAATCAGTCCACACCAATGTGTAATTTATGTAACAAGCATTTCTGATTGTATTCTAAGATCTACCTCAGGTTTAAACTTTCGGAATGAAATGCATTTGGTTTAACATTTTTATACCATGGTGCTGGACTGATTTTTAAGGTTTGAAGGTGTTTTATGTTTAAATCTCATCCATTTTTAATGTGTAGAATATGTAATGAAATCTGTGAATATTAAAAAAATGAATAATATACAAACTTTTTCTATTTGGATATCAGATGGTTTATGATCAAATTATATTAAAATTGATACTACATATTGGATATCAAATAACTAATATAATTTATTATATTGTTTTGTATAAAAATTATGAATTTTAATATTTATATATGACATTAATATTTTTGCAGACATTTTTTTTTTATACTTGAAATTTTTTTATTTTCATATAGGTGGTTGTGTGTTGATCATGAAAATGTTAAACCAGACATCTTAATGTTAGGAAAAGCACTTTCAGGAGGAGTATATCCAGTAAATTTCATTTGTTTGTTGATCAATGAAAACAATTGTCACAATATTAGATAAAAAAAATTTTAATACATTAGTATTCACTATATAACTATTGCTGTATGTAATATTAATGTTTTGAATAGCAAGTGATAAAAAATTGTTGTTAATGATTAAATAAATAAGTAATAAATATTAACAGGATCATTTTCAGATACAATATTTTAAAATTTTATTCCTTAGGTATCTGCCGTTCTTGCAAATGATCCTGTTATGCTTGCAATTGGTCCAGGAGAGCATGGTTCTACATATGGAGGAAATCCACTAGCTTGCAAAATTGCAATAGCTGCTTTAGAGGTAAAAAATACATTTTTAATGTAATACAGGCATACCTCAACTTACGTCGTTTCGAGTTACGTCGTTCACGATTATACGTCGTATGTCAAAAAAGTATATGGAAAAATAAAAATCAAGTTTAAGTCATTTTATTCGACTTTACGTCTGTCCGCCACAAATATTGAAGTCGTAATATCACTAGAAAAACGTTTAAAGCACATAAAATCATATTAAAATATATACAAGTATGTACTGTATTTACAGTACATACTTGTATATACTGTACTTGTGTATACTGAATGTATGTACTGTATTTACAGTACATGCATTCGTNAAAATTATAATTAAATATAGCTTTGTAAAGAAACGTACATAAAAATAACATAAAATATTGTTTACTTTTTAAATCTTAAAATAATGCACTTAATCAAATAGTTCCCTACAAGTGGCTAATGGATGGGATCGAAGACGATCGCAGAGCGTGTATGCACATTCTGCAACCGTCTTTGATCCCATCCATTAGCCTGGACTGTCGAATCCCCAGGGTGCCGATACCGGTCAATGTCAAATACCTCTTTTGTCGCATCACTAGTATATCTCGAAGGACGCAACAGGGCTGTTGTAGATTTTAAACGTTTCTCACCATAGCTGTAAAAATCTAAATACGTTAAACTTAAAAGTAATTTGTTTTCTAACTAATTCGTTTTAGGACCAAGTGTCCTTAGAATTTCTAAAATTTACAACTTTTCAGTCACTCTCGTTGAACTGGAAAAATTTCTATATTTATTACATTAATAATATGAGCAAATCAGTCTCCATTGTACTCTGCTAAAGATGGTTCGGTTAAGCTTTTGTTTAAGTAATATTCCGGCTCTTTCGGCAGGGTTTTATTTATGTCTCCAATTCCCTAATCACTTAATTATTTAACTACTTCTTAAGTAGAAATAAGTCAAAACTGGTTACTTTGTACTCGAATATTTGTAGTCTTGGGAAAAAAGTGGAAAGACAAATTTTTATGACAAACGGATACATAAATCGTAAATTTAAAGAAAATAAATTCTAGAGCTTTTTCCGTACATCATGCATCTCTCTCATTTATTAAATTTAGTTGTAAATGACGCTGTCAAAGTAACAGTTAATTTTATAACATTATACAAGAATTGTACACGTTTTTTTCTACATCCCCTTAGAGATGGAATATATGAAATCATAATATCACCGGTTTAACATTGGAATCCAAGAGTAATATAAAATCGGAGAGCGGAATAAAAATATCAAATATTTTAATGGATTTTTTAAACTCCTGTCAACTATACAGAACTATCATAAAAACATACAGGTAAATTCTTATTGGTTGGGTTAAGTTATAAATCCACTCGTGATTCGCATAATGGGGCGAGGGCGGCCAAATATCTAGCAAGCAGGCAGTTAACAGCCCAGAAATGGTCCTGGATAGAATTGGATGCATTATACGTGTAGCATCCACCCAAGGTCCTAGGCTTCCAGCAGCTAAACCGGGTGAGGTTGGTGCTCTGTAAAGCATATGTGCAAATCTGGCTTTTTGGATGCTGACAATACAGCGCTTCTACTCTACCACTAATATTCAAATATACAATAGCAATCTTATCTTTTTTTCATGTGTAGTATAGAAATTTGTAATAAGATACATAATGCAGTTATAATAAAATATTGTGCGATTATTTTCATATAATTAAAATTAATATGTATTTATTTTTTAGAAAATACAAGGGAAGCAGTGCATCCACTGCTTCCAATGACGGCACACCACTGAAATATGTACATTTACAAGAGTACAAGAGGCACACTAACTATAAGGATTTCAATACCGTTTTTACAGCATGAAGAGCCTGGTTCAAGCCATAATCATATAACTAGAATGGTGTTTCTTCTACACTTATCGACATTTGGGTCATTACTTCTCTTCATTATTATATATTCGTTTTTATTTTTCCTATATACAGTGGAACCTCAGGATACGAAATTAATCCGTTCCAAAACTGAGATCGTATCATGAAAATGTTGTAAGGTGAATCATTTTTCCCCATACAATTACATGTAAAACCAAATAATTCGTTCCAACACGAAAAACACACTCAAATTAAGGCTAAGTAGTACATTAAAAAAATAACTATAGTAAGGAAAACACTGAAAAATGCATTTTGTAATTGTAAATGTATAAATAACCATAATAGAATAATAATTGATTAAAATAAATGTAGTTTTATTTGCACTTTACCTTTAAGGAAAGACGATGGTGGAGGTGTAAACTGGTGGCAGAAGAGAGGGAGAAGGGAAATGATACTAAAACTTAACTTACATAACATAATGTAACAATAACTTAAAAATAATTTAACACTAATTTTTTTATCTTTTATGTTTCATAGATTTTTTAAATTTTTACTCACTCTTTTTGCTTTCTTTCCTTCACTTCCACCAGCACTTTCACTGGATACAGGTCGCTTGATAAAATATCTATCCAAAGAGGTTTGGCTTTGCCTACTTTTTAAAATGTTTCTAAAATGACTTAGACAAATGTCATTACTCCGAGCAGCAATACAGCCAGTGTGAACCTTTTCGAGATGTTTCTTTTCAATAAAATCAGTCACTTTCTAATAATACCTAAAGATTTCCTTTATCGAGCAAGATCCTTCCACGACGAAGCAAACATGCGGACTGAGACCAATGAACAGAAGTGAATAAAAAATGGCGCAGCGAACTAATGTAACGTTGTATGGTGAGTTTTTGTTTCAATCGTGGAGCAAAAATATGTTCGAATTTCATGTCGTATCCTGAAAATTTCGTATGNATATATATATATATATATATATATATATATATATATATATATATATATATATATATATATATATATATATATATATATATATATATATATATATATATATATATATATATATATATATATATATATATATATATATATATATATATATATATATATATATATATATATATATATATATATATATATATATATATATATATATATATATATATATATATATATATATATATATATATATATATATATATATATATATATATATATATATATATATATATATATATATATATATATATATATATATATATATATATATATATATATATATATATATATATATATATATATATATATATATATATATATATATATATATATATATATATATATATATATATATATATATATATATATATATATATATATATATATATATATATATATATATATATATATATATATATATATATATATATATATATATATATATATATATATATATATATATATATATATATATATATATATATATATATATATATATATATATATATATATATATATATATATATATATATATATATATATATATATATATATATATATATATATATATATATATATATATATATATATATATATATATATATATATATATATATATATATATATATATATATATATATATATATATATATATATATATATATATATATATATATATATATATATATATATATATATATATATATATATATATATATATATATATATATATATATATATATATATATATATATATATATATATATATATATATATATATATATATATATATATATATATATATATATATATATATATATATATATATATATATATATATATATATATATATATATATATATATATATATATATATATATATATATATATATATATATATATATATATATATATATATATATATATATATATATATATATATATATATATATATATATATATATATATATATATATATATATATATATATATATATATATATATATATATATATATATATATATATATATATATATATATATATATATATATATATATATATATATATATATATATATATATATATATATATATATATATATATATATATATATATATATATATATATATATATATATATATATATATATATATATATATATATATATATATATATATATATATATATATATATATATATATATATATATATATATATATATATATATATATATATATATATATATATATATATATATATATATATATATATATATATATATATATATATATATATATATATATATATATATATATATATATATATATATATATATATATATATATATATATATATATATATATATATATATATATATATATATATATATATATATATATATATATATATATATATATATATATATATATATATATATATATATATATATATATATATATATATATATATATATATATATATATATATATATATATATATATATATATATATATATATATATATATATATATATATATATATATATATATATATATATATATATATATATATATATATATATATATATATATATATATATATATATATATATATATATATATATATATATATATATATATATATATATATATATATATATATATATATATATATATATATATATATATATATATATATATATATATATATATATATATATATATATATATATATATATATATATATATATATATATATATATATATATATATATATATATATATATATATATATATATATATATATATATATATATATATATATATATATATATATATATATATATATATATATATATATATATATATATATATATATATATATATATATATATATATATATATATATATATATATATATATATATATATATATATATATATATATATATATATATATATATATATATATATATATATATATATATATATATATATATATATATATATATATATATATATATATATATATATATATATATATATATATATATATATATATATATATATATATATATATATATATATATATATATATATATATATATATATATATATATATATATATATATATATATATATATATATAT